GGGGGCCACCCGCTGAGTCCAGCAGCACCAGCACGGCCTGGGAGAGGCTGGGCCAGCGGGCCTGTGGCAGGCAGGTGGGCACTGGGCAGGAGGTGCCGGACTTGCAAAGGCTGCTGCCTTCTAATTTATTAGTCCTGTGTTTTCAGATAGATTTCAGAAGTGAACTGCTGTGGCAGGGCTGTGCAGAGGCTGCCAGATGCTGCCTGGACATAGAGGTCATGGGCTGGGCACTGCTCCGAGCAGAGCACGGCTGGTGGGGGCAGTGGGCCGGGCTCTGCCACAGCCGGCAGGATGGCCACAGATGCCCTGCTGCGTTTGCACGGCTGCCTGGGAGGGTGCCCACCCCAGCGTCTTGGGGCAGGGGCCCATGCTGGGCTCCCCCCGACTCGCGGGGCAGCACAGGGGCTGCCAGGAGCCTGGTGGGCTTGGGGCAGCTGGCCGGGGAGGTGCTGTGGACTGGAGACTGAGCTCGCCTGGAGCTTGTAGGAAACACGAGGCTGTTTCAAAGGGCCTTAGTCTGTGTCTGGTTTGTGATTCTCACACTGGTTGCGCGGAGGAATAGGAACGGTGCTCCATGGAGAGACGGGGCAGCAGGGAGGGAGATTCAGAGCTGTGGCCAGGGCCAGTCTGGGTGTGCTGGGCGGGCTGCCAGGGCTGTGCTGCGCTCTGCTCCGTGGGGTCCCTGCCTGGCCAGTGTTCTCAGGGCTGAGCCAGCCGTGGGGCCCCGGGCATGTGTGGGAGGCCGGGGTCCGGGCCAGGCCCAGCCATGCTCGGGAACAGGCAGCACCTGGTGCTGGCGGGAGCAAGCGGGACGGGGTGCAGACCAAAGTTAGGCAGCTCCCTGTGCAGGCAACAACACATGGGTTAAGCACGGGAATGGTCTCTCCCAAATTCAGTGCCTTTAGCCCCCTTTCGGTGTCAGCATGGCAGTCTGGTCTCTGTTGAGCTCTGGCTGCCGGCAGCTGAGGGGCAGGTGCTGACAGTCACTGGGGACCCCCTGGCGCCTCAGGAAGAGGGCCCGGCCCAGCAGGGAGGGGATGAGGGGACATCGTCTGCTGCAGTACCTGCATGTGCACCCCTGGGCTGCTGGGGCGAGAGCCTGGCGCAGCCGCCTCCTGGGGGTGCCAGCTGTTCTCAGGGCTGAAAAGCCTGCAGCTGCTGGGGGAGCTGGACCCCTGCTCCTGTGCACAGGGCTGTGGGGCACTGCCGGCTGTGCCCAGCTGTCCAGAGCAGGCTGAGATGGAGTGGTGCGAAGCCCTCAGCTGGCGGTGATGCTCTGGTGCCTGAGGAGCCTGGCCGGCCCGTCTGCGGTGCCCTAGGG